TTCTAAGAGCAAGCGTCATGAGACAAATGATTTATGATTTTAAACATTTCCCTCCTGCACCATCTATATTAATATGTGTTAGTGAATTGCAAAGTGTCATCTGTAAATTAAATTATTATATAGCTTCAAGTAAAGAAATAAAAAGGGCACATGATATGGATTACAGAATAGTAATGTACATGTCAGGTAACATTCAAAAGATACGAGAATAAAGAAAATTAGTACATTAAATGAGGGAAGTAAAGACACCAACTATATCACAAACTTTCAAAAGCGTCCAAGAGGAGCTTTTGTTACTTGAGGACAAAGTGAGAAGCAGGCAGAGTAATAATTGTTAAAATACAGAAGTACCTCAATACAGGCTGGTAAGCAGCCACTGTATGCAGTACTGCCCTGTACTTCCCAACACCCGCATTTCCCGCCTGGCCCAGTCTCCCCCTCTCCTCAAGCCTATGTGCCTTGCCACAATCCAGTATAAGAAGGGTTAACAGCTGGCACTTTCTGACTGGTTAGTGACCAGTGCTGTTCAGTTTGGAATAGTAGAGTCTGGTAAGGACAAACAACAAAGCTGAGCAGTCCCATTTGCTTTTCAATGCTATGAGTGTAGATGCTCATGTAAATTACTGTATACATGATAGAGGTCATTTGATTTTGTAAATTACTGTATACATAATAGAGGTCATTTGATTTTAGGAGGCCTTGAGCATATCTTTCAAGCTAACGAATTTGATCTTCAATCAAATTCAATTTTGATCTTCAGTCCTCTTATATCCATTTTGGTTTCCTTGCTCCTTTTTATTACCACACATGTCCCATACTAACTTCTCATGAGTTTAACCTCCATGCCCCCAGCTCTCACCTAGACCCATCCTCTTCAGCCCATTCAGGAGTGACTTCAACTCTTGAAACCAATGACTCACCACTAATGCCTGACCTCCTCACCTCCAGGGCCAAAAAATCTTTATATGAAGCTTTTTTCATGAATTTTTCATTAATTCATAAAATGAATTTATTTTATCTTACTCTTGCAGACAATTCAATATCCTATATAACGTACCCATTTGACAACCTATATTCCAAAATTCTTGAGGATTAAAATTAGAAGAGTCCGCTCTTGCTGCTTTCGGATATATTCTGGTAATGAACTTCCTGGTGTGAAAAATAAACTCATCGACTAAAAAAAAAATTATTAAAACATTATCAAAAATTTTAAATAAATTAAATAAGCTATTTCTATATATAGTATATCATTCTACAACAGTTTTAATACTTTTGATATGTATGTGTTAGCAAAAATATTTGCAATTTCTGAAAATCAAAATAAATCCATGCCTTTATGTTTAAGTGCAATTCAGTTATTGAGATGTTAATAATAATTTTACTACACAATTCATGTACACTGATCATGTACACTGGATTAGATAATTTATATATTTTTCACATTCAAATTAATTTTACTTTGATATAAGAATACATAAAAATTCTAAAATAATATATGTTCATTTTTCAAAAGTAGCATCTTTCCTCATTTTTTTTAACTTTGATTTTCACATTAGGACAGAATCATGTGTAAGTCGTATAAAGGTATATTTTTCCAACTAAATTAATCAGGTTGAACATTTCACAATTCTCAGGGTTGAAAGACACCCTAAAGTCATCCGGTTTAGTTTACAAACCTTCCACTCCAGCATCATCTCCCAAAATTCATTGAATCTCTCTTAATATCCCACCACTGAAAAACTCACTATCTCCCAATACTTTGTTATTTCATGTCTTGCTTACTGAGGTCATTTATATATATTTTTAGTTTGTATACATACACATACAAGTACACACACACAGCCTACCTGAGTTTCTACGTATATTCTTTATACGTAGAAAGTTTCTACTTATCTATATTCTATTTAAATTGCTTGAGATTCAAACTAATGTACACTATCATTTGACACCCTTTCAAATTTTCAAACACAGATGTCAAGGTTTTTCTTCTTTCTCTAAACAGATCCTGTTCCTACAACTATTCATGTTAATATGGTGACCAAGCATAGGAGAAATGGTTATTGCCTATGGCCCACTATATTTCTTAGTCCTTTTAGAACAGAATCATTTCCTTCCTCATCCTAAATACTACTCCTTAGGAAGCATTGTCGAGTTAAAAATCACAGTTAATTTCATCATTATTTATTTTTAAAAGTTACACACTCCTTGAGACAAAGTTCATTTGAGGTCACTCAATACATGCAGCACAGGTGTCCAAGTATCATCCTCCCTTATCTAGCCCCAAGGGATCTATGTCTTTAGGCAAAACACATACTCTTCTGGAACATAGTATTTTGCTTCTGCAAAGTAATAAACGTAAATGAGCACTAAGGTCCCATAGCCTAATATGATTTAGGTACTTTACTTCTGAGAATAGGCTTTAGAAATTAAACAAGCTTTGTTATTACAAATGTAATTTGTGCGCATTTTAGAAATATGAGGAGGGAAACCCTCCTCCTCTGTTGGTGGGACTGTAAATTAGTGCAGCCATTATGGAAAACAGTATGGAGGTTCCTCAACAACTACAGATAGAACTGCTATATGATCCAGCAATCCGACTGCTGGGTATATACTCAAAGGAATGGAAATCATCATTTCAGAAGGATACCTGCACTCCCATGTTTATTGCAGCTCAATTTATAATAGACAAGAGTTGGTACCAACCTAAATGTCCATTGATGGATGACTAGATAAGGAAAATGTGGTGTATATAAACAATGGAATATTACTCTACTACAAAAAAGAATGAAATACTGCCATTCATAGCAACACAGATGAACTCAGGGAAGATCATGTTAAGTGAAAAAAGCCAGGCACAGAAAGAGAAATACCCCATGTCCTCACTCGTGACTGGGAGATAAAAAAATAAACAAATAATTTTTTTTTAAAAAGAAAGTTACAGCAATCACAATAATACATTGAACTTTCAAAAGGAGAGAACAGAACTGAGGTTACCATAGTGGAAAATGGGGAGGGGAGAAGTGTAAGGAAGGAATTGGTAAAGGACCACAAAAAACGATTACATTGTATAATGTTTAATATGGTAATTGTCTTGATTTGAGCATCACATATTACACACAGGTAATGATATTCAACTATGTGACCCACAGAAATGTAAAATCAACTATGTTACAATAAAAAAAAATTTTTGAATGTAAAAAAAAGAAGAAATAAAACCACATCTAATTTCATCCCTCAATTAATAACCACTGATAACTCCTTGGTATATATCTTTCCATTTTTTTTGTATGTATATGCTAATTTTTAATATTAAATAATATAGTTTGTTCTTTTTTACAAACTGCCATTTTTACTTACTAAAATAATGTGAAAATCATTTCATTTCAGTAACATTCATCTACCATATTATTTTAATGATGTCCATTATATTTATAACAATGACAGGCATCCTTGCAGTTAAACTTTTGCCGACATTGGTTATTTACTATTGACTTTTGGTGCAAGAAAAATACTCTGTACTGTTTTCAGGAAATGGCAATACTATACTTTACAACTCTACTCAAAACTACCCAATCGTTCCAAATTTTTTTGCAGGTATTTAATACAACGAGGGTGAGAGAATTACAACTACTTTTGCTGTGCCCAGAGGTCCTGTCCTCATGAACAACAAAAGCCATCCAATAGTTTGAAGGGACAGAGGCCAGTAAAGCCGATAAATCAAACTCTCTTTACCATACCTTACGGTAAGAAATACGTTTTATATCACAACCCAACACACACACACGTACACAATTGTTTCACAAAGCAGTACTTACTCTAACAGTACACGCTATTCTAGTCTAGTCTAGTCTAGTCTNAACTGTAGTCCAGACCTACTAAATAGATTTTTGGTTACAACCCACAGTTGTTTTTTTCTTTCTTTTTAAAAAAGGGATGGGGGCAGTGCCTTAACCAATAAATAGCCTCTGATAAGAGGCTGCATTTTCAAACAGCCAACAGCTTTTCTCAAGGTAATTGAAGGTGCTCAATTTCCGCTGTTGTGTTTCTACAAAAGAGTATAGGTGGCAATTTTTTAGAAGGATTTGGAGAGTCACCTGGCTGTTAAGTTAGGTGCTCGTGCCTTTTTAAGTTTGGGACATAACTCACCATATGAGTCTGAGAAGGGGGTAGGGTCTGCTTCTCATTTGCTTTCCCAAGCCTTGTTTCATCTTGGGCTCTACGAAACAAAATAACCACCTCAAATCTAGAATCCAAAGGCAGCGAAGAGAAGACGCAGAGGCAGATGGTACCTCTGGAGATGTGCAGCGATAGGGCACACTCTGCAGAGCCATCTGGTATTCTGGCCTGGGTGCCATTTCCTCCCTTTCCTTCACATTAGACATAGCCTCCGAGTCTAATTAACTCTACCTCTCGGGTGCTTGTTGAATCCACAGAATTCACCCTGTCTCCACTCTGGCTGCCATAAGCCTTCATTATCTCCTTCTGCCTG